ACAGCAGAACAAATTGCCTGGATTTCCAATGCAACGATTGGAAAAAGAAATAATGAATTGTGGGGGCAATATCGGAAGCTGCGGCTTAGGCCTAGTTTAAAGGTCGCATTTCTGCCGCATAGAATTAAATTAAAGAGGTTAAAAAAACTAAGTGTCAATTTAATGCGACACAAATGCGACCTTTAAATCCATTGCCGCATTAAATAATTAAATGAGACGGTAGTTCACCCGGCTTGTCGCATAAAACGGCAGTAGCGCGACAGGCTTTAAAGGTCGCTTTTCTGTCGCGTTGAATTAAATTAACCAAAGGTGTGTTCCAGATATTAGCAGCAGCTTACATTATTTCCAACCAATTGCGCATGCGTAAAATAGCCCGTCAGTTGGAGAAAATGGCGGCGACAAACAGTGCCTCGAATCTCCTGTTTTTCAATTCTTTAAAATTAAATGATGAAATGCGCAAGATTAAAAAGATTTGTTCGTTTGCCTGTTCCGGTTGGGCCGATTCCCTGCTCTGAATATAGGGGAAGGGCTGGGAAAACCATTTACCGTATCTTTGCTTTTGTATGAGATCCTCTATCCGTGATGCAGTTTTCCTTGTAAGGGATGCCTTTTTACAAATTGCGACCAAGGCCTTGAAGTTGTGTCGTGCCTGGGCAACAGTAGAAATCGCATGTCTTCCCCCGGTCCTCGCATCGCGCTGAAAGAAGGCGAACAACTTTGTTGTATACTTCAGTGTTTTTTGTGTTCTTATTGTTCGTAAATAAAATTTTTCGCCTTAAATATTCATCTTCACAAACAATATCTACGAGGTCATCGATTATTTCTTCGGGCCATGTCGATTTGCGACCACTTCTCTTTCGTTTTGTTGCCTTTTCCCTAGGCCTAATAGAGGTGTCAAAAGACTCTCTGCCTTGCATGCTATCACTGCCTTCATTTTCACTGCTACTTCCTGCTTCTTTGTCATTTTCAAATTCCAGTTCGTCGTTTTTGTTAAATTCTTCCGAGCTCATTTTCATCTAGATGTGAAACTTCGAAACTTTGATCGCAGTTTTTGGTATAATTTTAAGAAGAAGCCCGCCAAAACACTAACAATACCTAAAGCGCATGCGTTCAGATATTTGGCGCCACTTTTAAATTCGACGCGACATAATTAAATTCGACCTTTAAATCCACTGTCGTATTTTGCCGCATTATGGTCGAAATTAATTGCATTTAATTTGACGTGGCAGAAATGCGACCTTTAAACTAGGCCTAACAGGCAGTAACTTTGGGGATGTCATTAAGCCATATAAAAGGAAATTTGAGAGCAGCAAACCAATTCCTCCTTCACTTTTGAAGCAGCTAAGGGGTGAATATGCAATGGGCAAAAAAGACTCAATAATGTGGTGGCAGATGCACAAGGAAACTGCATTGAAAAGATATATTAATGAAACAGGCAATGTAGTGGAGCAGTGTGGGCTCTTTTTGTTTCCTTGTGGCTTTCTAGGCTAGTCAACCCAGATGGAATAATCTCTGAGCAAGATGCTTTGGCTGCAAACGGTAGGGGAGTGCTAGAAGTCAAGTTTTCTTAACATTTATTCATGTATTGTAACAAGTAAGTTTATTAATGTACATATTCCTTGTAGGTGTTTATAACAAGACTCTTCTAAATAAGTTGTTTAGAGCTTAGTAAATAAAGCACTCAAATCTTTCTAAAAAGTCATATCAATCAAAGCAGACATAAATAAATGGTTAATGAACTTTTATTATTTATCAAACAATTTAAGTTCTTCCTTTGATTGCAGTCAGGCTTTTCATTTTATCTTAATCAACTGCAATCAGTATTTGTTTTCTTCTAATTCCTAAGTTAATTGTTGAGTTTCAACCATTGTAAAACCTATAAGAATATGTAACCTTTCTTGCAGTTCATAATAAAGAAGTTTTCTTTCATGCATTGTTGTATCTTCAGTTGATTCAAATGTATAATAATAAGCTTGAAAAAACAGCACCTTATTTGTCAGGCAGTTGTCAGTCTGCATACAATCTGTTACAATAATCTATAAAGACAAACAATTTTTGTTTTAAGGCTAGTCCAGTATTATTGAAAAGATGCATTTAATACTCTAAAATTCAAAAATCAAAATTAAAGCAGATTATAACTTAGAATATTGAAGAAGGGATTGATCTCAATTATCAGCTTTAATGTTTGGATTTTTTTACCTTAGTTTTTTTAGACTAAAGGAACTTTTCATGAATATTTAGAACTGGATGTAGATGATATCACACAAAATCAATCTTTGAAACAAGGGGGTTGCACTGCTTTGCCTGAATTTTGATGGGGGAAGGGGCTTGTTAAAAATTGAAATAAGTTGCAATATTGTAGATATCATTCAAACATCTGCAGATATTATGATATGATTTATAAAAATGTAAGATAATATATGTATGATACAGGCTCTACATACAGACTTAACATACATTTACTTTTCAACGTGTGTTTCACTTCTTGCATTTTCATTACATTCTTGAAAAATTCCAGCAATGATAGGTGTTTGCAAATCCACCAAAGCTGCACAGACTTGCACAATTTTGTCTGCAAATGGACACAAATGGGCACCCATATACCGAAGGATCTTGTAGTTTCGCAACCTTTCAATTGCCCTCTCTACGTTGATCCTGCAACTGGCAATTTTTCTTGAATATACAGCTTCTTCAACTGTAAATTGTGTTTTGCTACTCAAAAATGCTGGTAGATTTAAAAAAAACTTTCTTTGGGAGCAAATCATGGATGACAAATCCCTTGTCTGCAAGTATCAAATCTCCAGCCTGAAAGAAATATATAGTAGATTTAGGCATAGAATTACCTACCCAAATGAGTGTATAATGAAAGAAACTGAAAAAATAATCCTTTTGTTTTAACAACACAAACAGATTTAAACAGTTAATTTATACAGTTTTGAAAACAAATTGAGATACTTAAAATGCATATGACACGAAATTTTTTATTCGCCCCCAAGACGTAATCGAGTATGCTGATCACGAAAATGACCATAAAATTTTTGAAAAACAAACACTTTCGTTATTGCAGCTGTTTCAAGGTCGACTTTTTCCTTCAAATTCTGTCACAAGGGATTGGGTCGAGTTTGACAGGAAGTGACGTAAAGTGGTTGTGTTAGTGAAAATTTAGATTGCTAACTAACAAGAAATTATACGGTGGAGTTTTACTTGCGAGTTTCTGAACATGTCTCACGGCAAATATTCAAGCTCAAGGGCGTCAGCTTTTGACGAAAGTGAAGGGGAATAGTTTTTAGGTGCTGCTTATGGGCTATTTTTGCCTATAAAGAACGAACCAGTCTTTTTTCTGCGAATAATTCAGACACGGAACCAGGCAAAGCTGGCATGGCTCGAAGCTTTCATGACAGGGCGAGGACGAAGATGGAATACAACAATACTTTGAGTCAATGGTGAGTGAAATAAATTGTCCTTATGTTTTTTGTGTTATAAATTCAGTATTTCCTGTACATCTCTGCTGTTTTAAAGAGGAAATGAAACCAATTTTTTTTTGTTAAGTCCTGAATCCCCAGAATAAATTACCTTATAATCCAAAAGTTCAATGTATTTAGAGAATTTTCGGCTAAACTACGAGGGCGATACTGACTTCAGTTTTTCAACGAAAAAGTGGCACCAACCGCTCGCTGTTTAACTAGTCTCGTTTTGAATGTTGTGACGTAAAGTTATGGACACGTGCGGTGTTTCGCAATATTTACATCCCGTTTCTACGTACTGAAACTAAAGATTAGCTATGGAGTCAGGTAACAAAACTAAGGTTCGTGGTGGTCTACGATGTGTTGCAGGCACTTTAGACAATAAAAGCTGTTGTAATGACAGTTATACTAAGGGTATAAGCATCCATCGTTTTCCAAAGGACCCTGCTGTACGCCGGCAGTGGACTAAATTTGTTAGAAAGCGTAGGCCCAATTTTGACCCAAGAGAATTTTCAAACCCCGTCCTCTGCTCAGATCATTTTGAACCAGGTTGCTACACAAGGAGCGTAGCTAGTCTACTAGAGGGGTACGACACTTCAAAAACAAAAAGGTTTTTACAGCAAGATGCTGTTCCGACAGTATACGTGGCTTCAACTGGAAATGAAGGAAATTCAACGTCTCAGTCTAAACGGGAAAGAAGAAAGGTAAGATTTCATTTTCTTTGTCTACTTCATTTTTCAATATATTCCTTTAATTAACGTTTATATAAAGCAAAAGATACGATACATAAAATGACAAGGTCAACTACAATATATATCTCTGTTTGTTGAGGCCCCTTTCAAACGTATATATCTTGGTTTAAATGTGGAGCTCGCGTTTAAACCTTCCCCCTTAAAATTAGTAGATTGGGTACAACAGAATAAAAAGTTAACAGAACTCGCCACTTCTTGTCCGTTTACACAAAACAATTGGTTTTATCAAAATCGCCACGTGATAAAAGTTTTCATAACAAACTATTGGTGTTAATTGTGACGACTTTTTTTAGAATGTTGGCATTGCAATTAAAAAAACAATATTTTGTATCTTCTACAAAAGTCGGGCCCTTCCAATTTGAAGCTTTACAAAATATATGTGTGCATATAAAACATTTATCAAATTTTATCGATTGCATCCGGGGTGGAGCCAAAAAAATTTTTTGGAGGGTTAAAGAAGTAACTTTTGCCAACAAAAAGGGCGTATCTCACTCATTAAGGTTGTGGTAAAAAAATGAATACCTTTATATGTTGTTTTTCTGTTTCAAAGTTCATACTTTAATGCCATACTTTGAAAGTTCAACTACTACAGAAATGTGAATAAGTTACAATTGTTGCAAAAAGGTTACAGGAAGAGTACAAAATTGCTTTTTCCGGCAAAAATCCTCAGTGTTGGGGGGGGGAGGGGGTACCACACCTACCGAACCCCCTTGGCAACGCCCCTGGATTCCATAAATGTTGTAGCTCAAATTCACATTCTGTTTTTCAGGGTGTAAGAGATGCAATGAATGTAGTTTCTGTAGCGGATACACAAACGGACCTATTTGAAGAGCCATTATTCGACGAAGCAACATCTTCTAAAACTGATAAATCGCAGACAGTCTTTACAGAAACCAGCATGGAAGCAACTCCATTTGTAGATGTGTCAAGTCTATCCTGTCAAGATTGCAAGGTGAAAACATCAAGATTGAAAAATTTGAACCGAAGAGTGAATCGCCAAAATCTGAAAATAATAAAACAGAAAAGGAAATTAACAAGTCAAAAGAATGTAAGTTCACGGTACATAATAATATTTGCCGATATGCCAAATTTCAATTCCATCTCATTTCCATATAAATTTATTTTTGTAACCCATTCTCATTGACGCTTTGTTTGTAGGCAATCAATTATCTAAAACGCAAAGTTAAGAAATTCAGAGAGTCAAAACAAGGACAGCCAACTAAGCTCGTAAATAACATGGACGTTGAAGAGACAGACAGTGATTCTGATTCCTGCAAAAGTTTCGCTGAAAATGATGATGAGTGGAATCCAGTAGGAGCTGAAGATGAATCTGAAGACAGCGACGAAGAATTTGTAAATGAGGAAGAAATAGACAGTGATGAAAATGATGATGATGAAAAAGTAACCAATGAAACAAGAGGGAACATTAGGTAAAACTATCATGATGACATCATTGTATAATCAAATTTTTAATTGAAAGTGAAATAATATGACAGAAAAGGTATGAACGAAATTCTCCACCATACTGTTATATTCGATTGGGGAAATTTGACAACTTGTTGAACTTGTAAACAAAAGAAAATCATACGGAAGGAATATATGTGTAATATTGATCCCTCTTTATAGTGTATTCATTCATTTATCATATGTCATTTATTAAAACAAGTAAAATAACTTTTTTGGAAAGAAATAGTATATTAGTAAAAGAAAAGTTATTTACTCCTGCTGAAATTTCACACCCATCTGACAAATGCTATTTTACTTTCCAGCAATGATGCAACCTACACTGTCGGGAGTGAACCAAAGTTCATTGTATTTTACTCGCTGCTATTCAACCTGTTTAGTATGTTCTGTTTCCGATGTAGAGCTGATCATCCATCTGTATCAATGAAAAAGAATGGAACCATGGTGACAGTAAGGCAGGATTGTACGGCATGTGGAGAAAATGCATTCACCTGGAAGTCCCAACCAACGATGAAGGGCGGTTTTCCAGCAGGCAATTTGTTGCTAAGTTTTGGAAGCCTTATGGCAGGTGCCTCCATAAGCAAGATACTTCTGGTTTTTCGGCACAAGGGATTATCAGCATATACGGCTAGAACCTACTACTATCATCAACAGAAGTTCCCTTTTCCATCTGTTCTAAGACATTGGGAAGTCTATCGTTCAAAACTGGTGAGTGAGCTTACCAATAGAGAGGATCTAGTTTGGTGTGGTGATGGTCGATTCGACTCGATGGGCCATAGTGCAAAATATGGTGCCTATACCATGCTTTGCTGTACATTGATGAAAATTGTTCATTTTGAAATTGTTCAGGTAAGGTTCCATAGTTAACAAAAATGATATAAATTATTTATACAGTAAAATCTATTTTATTCAACTGTTGAAATAAAACTACAGAAAAATATGAAACTTTACTAATTTATGTGTCAGGGGACAATTCTAAAAATTATCAAGGTGGGCTCTATGGGTTCTGACAGGATGAGCTTTGCACATTACCACAATTCCAGTTCTTTTCTCTTGATAAATCTATCAAAATTTAGAAAATTTAACACTTACATGCTAAGTTAATGCCTGAAAATCAATTGAAATTATGATGAATTCATGATTTCCTTGAGTTCTATCCCCCTGAGCCCATTTGAAATCATCTCTTTAGTGCCAATCTTACAAGTGTTTTTTCTTCCTTCCTAAAGGCAAATGAAACAAAGGGTAGCAATCAAATGGAACTGGAAGGAGTAAAGAGATCGTTTAGTTTTTTATCATCTTTTTGTATATATGTACCAATATTTATATCGGATAGACACTACGGAATCACAAAATGGATACGTGAGAACCAGCCTCAAACAAAACATTATTTCGACTTATGGCATGTGGTGAAATCAATTATGAAAAGGGTAAGAAGTAGCGGGAAAGAGAAGGGATGTGAGATACTTCTTCTGTGGATGAAAGGGATTCGAAATCACCTTTACTGGTGTGCAACCTCAACTCAAGTTGGATTCGGAGACCTTGTTTTGGCAAAATGGAAATCATTTACTAACCATGTTGCAAATAAGCACAGGAATCACGAAGACCCCCTATTTAAAAATTGTGTCCATGAACCAATTACTGAAAGAAGAAAATGGATCAAAATAGGTAATTATACATCATTCCTTTTTGTTGACATTTTGTTTCAATAACACTAGTTTGTGGAAAACAGGTAGATTTTCTTTCTCACTTTTCCATATATACTTTACAGGTACAGCGCCATTTGACAAACTGAAGGCAATTGTATCTGATCCAAAACTTTGCGGTGCAGTTAAGATGCTATCATCCAATGACCAAACCAGTTGTCTTGAGAGTTTTCATTCAACTCTTAATCAATGGCACCCAAAAATGTTGCATTTCTCCTGGATGGGAACGAATGTAAGGTAAAAGTTTGGCACTGAGATTCTTGCAAAGAGCAAAGCTATTTACAACTATTTTCAAACATAATTAAAATAATGGAATATTTTGGAAAGGCCTGTAGTGAAAAGTTAAACATGTTGTCCATATATAAATATAATTTTGACTTTTTATTCAGTTAGCCAAGATACATGTTACCCTCAATTACGTTATTATAAGGGGAGTCAACAAGAATATTTAAATAGAGATTAAAGGTGCAAAGTTTGAACAAAATTTGAATATCATTTTTTCTAGACATGCATTGGCAACACTGCATTTCAATGAAAACCTTAAAAGAAAACAGATGACATCAAACACAGGAGACGACTACTTCAAAGTTTCTTATCCCAAATATAAACTAGGTGAAGAAATTGTGAGAAAGATACCTGTTATGCCTACTTATGGTGAGTGTGGTATACATTTCACACATTATTCAATCTAATTTGACTAGTTTTTCAAAATACCATAAAATGTTTTTGGTTTTTAACAGGATATGTTCAGGATATCATGGATGTGCTGCTGTATGAAACAAAGACCAACCTAGCAACCATCAGCAACAGATATGAAAGAAAGAATCCTGGCTCACTTTTGGATCAATTTCCAAATCGCAAAAGAAAGCAGGAAGCCATTCAGCATTTCAAAGAGAGACAGTCAAAAGACATGGTTACACTTTACCCCCAAGGTACATCACAAAATGCCTTTTGACTTTGTTTTCCATCTGATATGAGATTGAGCCTCTACCCCTGAGCCTCTACCTCTATTTTCTGCAGTCTCTGTAGCTGTACTATGAAAAACTGTTCTTTGTTTTATGAAAAAATTATGAAAAACTATTCTTTGTTTTATTATTGATTTATAATGACCTTGTCATCACATGCATAGTCTATGTAATATTTTTATGCCAAAATATAATTTAAAAAACCAAATGATTGCAATGTATGTTAAATTCAGCTTTTTATGCATTGTAGCGGAGGAGCAAGAAGCAATGTTGGAGGAGCAGAAAACAGCAGCAATGACCCCTGTTGTGGGTAGAAAAACACCAAAATGTAAAAATTGTGGGAATCCAAGAAAAGGTCACCCTAAGAATTCCTGCCCCTTATTTGGATTGATTTTTTATTTAAGCCTTCTGATAGATTTCTAAATATCTACTTTTTTGTTCCTAAGACAACAAGGATACACGATGCAATTTAAAAATTAATCAAGTCAAATGATATTTCAACACATTTTGAAGAACACCCTATACTTTGCTAAGAGTATGAAAGATTTATCAAAATACATAGTTTTAACAAACCTTTAATTTCTTTTTTCTGAATCTTTATAGCCTTTAGTAGTTCCACTAGCAAACTTTTCACGAATGGCATGATAGATGCAAGCAGGAAGGGGTCTGGAATTTTCCCAGCCCATGTAGCCAAACAACCATCGTGCCAACCAACGATATGATACTGCTCTCAAATATCTGATGAAAATGAAAGCACTTGTTAAAATTGTCAAAACTATTTCCTGTTAAAACTATCAATGGTATACATAACTTGCTTCACTAGATTGTATATATATAATATATTTCATGTTTATAAAAAGGTATGCTTAATTTCTTTCAGATAATTTTATTTTGTTACTCACTCGTGTAGCCCTGCCTTCCTGCGATACTTCCTTCCTTGTCTGTCCCTAAGCAGTGGGCCAACATTCTGAAGCACAGTTGTATTTGACATGGCAATGAAATCATCATGTTGTGTAATGCATGATATTTGTTCAATGCTTCCGTCAAATACAAGTTTACCCTGTGCTTCATTGACCTCAAAGCAGCATCTGTACTCCAAAGCACCAACAAGATGTTCAATTTTACATTTTCCACATCTACACCTGCAAAAAATAAGACATAATGCCATAGTCATCATCAGTTAAGTTTACGATGGTGCGACCCTCCGGGCCTAGGCACTATCGCGATGTGTGCTAATTATTTCCGTTGATGCCTACAGTATTTATACATCATTGAAATTAAAGAAAACGGGTTTTAAACATATATTCGTCATTTATGGAATTAAACTTACCATGAACTAACTTCTGTATTTTGTTCGTATCGCTCTCGCAAAACTGCCGGGGTTAGGCCGTCATGATCGTGGCCTAGGTCATCCTCGTCGGTACTTGATTCTGTGTCTGCTGAACACCGTAAACAGCAACTGCTCCCTCTTCTTCTTCGGAAACTTCTAAACTAGTGTCACTTTCGTCCGACATGGTGAAAATAGAAATTCAACAAGATACGATCGCCCACTCAGCTAGAAAATTTGTCCTCAAATTATGAACATGCGCGCCTCGTGTCCATAACTTTACGTCACAGCTCTCTAGTGTCTAGTCCCCCTATGCCTCTTTTTATTGAAAAATTATTGTCAGTTTAGCGGTGTTTAAGTTTATTTTCAATAGTCTTATTTCTTGAAATAGCTAATGCGAATTATTTTTCCTGTACAATTGTGGATGGAGAAATCGATTAAACGCATAAAAAAATTTGTTTCATTTCCTCTTTAAGGAAATTCTCCAGAAAATCTGTAAGTTACAAGGCAGTATGCTGTTGAAGGCATAGATTGAGGCAGCGTCGCCTATTGGCCCAGATATTTAATACTTACGATCTTGATGGCACAAATCCTTTGATGAAAACCAAATTGAGTTGCCCTGCCAGAAAGCAACAAAGATTTTGGACAAGGCCTGGTTGAACTGCAGCTTGGTGGCAAAATATCGTTGACAACATTCTTGTGCCAGAGGAATGGTGAGAGAACTTTTGAATGTCTAAAAAAAGCTTTATGCAATTGTGCGATGAAATAAGACCTTACTTGACGAAACAGAGAACTAATATGCGCAAATCCTTATCAGTTGAAGAACAACTTGCTGTTGCCCTCTACCAACTAGCAGACAAAGGAAGGTATAGGATATGCGCCAATGCCTTCGGAATTGCAAGAGCAACAGTTTCAGTTGTCTTGAGGAGGGTGTGCACAGTGATAACAAACCAACTTGGTCCAAAATACATAAAGTTGCCAACAACTGCTGATCAAGTTGAATTCTTGACCAAAAATTTTTACAGGGACCATGGTTTTCCACAATGCATTGGAGCTGTTGACGGACCTCATATTTTCATAAGAAAGCCTTCACAAAATCCGACTGACTACATAAAAAAAATCGCTATTCAATAAATGTTCAGGCAACATGTGGCTTTCGCCATTGCTTTATAGATGTTGTGGTTAAATGGCCATGATCTGTGCATGATGCTAGGATTTTGTCAAGATGGCACCATTCCATCTTGTCCAAAAGTGATTGTTGTTGGTGAAGAAAGTGTTCCTGTGTGTCTTTTAGGAGATCCTGCCTACCCTCTCTTACCATACCTTTTGAAGGAATTTTCCAATGGGGGTAATGATATTGCTATCAACAACAGCTATCAAGAAAAAAGAAGAAAACAGATCTTCAGCAGTCTCATCATTTTCAGTTCCTATGGCGGTTTAATAGAGCTTTCCCGAATTTCAGGCATGCATTTCAAAGCTAAAGTTCGGAGATTCTTGGCACATTGATAGGTCTCCGTTCTCAGAAACCTCAGTTCAACATTGAGGTCATTTGCTTTCTAAATATATAAATGTTTGTGGAGCTTTCTGATAATGTTTTTTGCGAAATTTTTGGCTGGATCCTAACTGATGACCATGATTTGTATAGAGAATATGAAGGATCTTTACAAATATCACCATGTCCAATCTTATTCAAGAAATTGAGCCATCTTTATAATGCGAAGGAATTTATGTACCTGATCATAAAGCCACTGCAAGCATTCAAAGGCATGTGATCCCAAGAAAAATCTCATATCTTCAATATCAACAAAGATCTCCCCAAAAAAGATTTCTTCAAGATGAATTTTTACGATGTGGAAACTGTTCTCTCCTTTTATTAGGTAAATACAATGCTCTTCTTGCCTTGTTCAGGGTGCATATTTTATCTATGAAAGCAGACGAAAAGAAAGTCGATTAAATGAGCCTGCTAAGCTGTTTGCTCCTATTATATAATAGCCCCTGAAAGAATAAAGCTAACTTTGCAACAGAACCGTTTTGAATGCAAGCAACCTGAGCAACAAATTGAAGACATGAGACAGCCCTTGGCAAATAAAATCAAGCCGGCTGATCCTCAAAACAGCAAAGATCTGATTTTCTTGTTCAGTGATAAAAAATTGTGCTAATTTTCATGAAACTTTTTTGGGAGGAACTACATAATCATATAGGTGAGTCCAAATCCAGCAGCATTAGATATCATCCAATGGTCAGCAAATTTTGTCTTTTTCTTGACTCAAAATCTTACTCTGCTTATTCTGATCTTCGCTATGACAGCAAAACTGTTTCTGAAATTTTAGTGTTACCAAATCTAAGATCACTAAGAGACTAAAAGAATTATAATAGTCCAAGAAGAGGATTCAATCCTGACAATATTAATGATTTGTCTATAAAGACAAGGAAATTTTCTCCTGCTGAAAGATTTTTCAGTATTTTATTTGATGAAATGAAGATCTAAGAAGATTTGGTTTGAGACAAGGATACTAGTGAGGTTATTGGCTTTGATGATCTTGGTGACATTGATATGAATTTTGCCACTCTGCAAGATGTTCAACAGCTTGCCACACATGTCCTTGTCTTTCTCATCAAAAGTATTGTCAATCCTCTTTCTTCCAGTCTTGCAATATAAGCTACCACTGGTGCCCCACCTTATCAAATCTGGTGCACCATCCACTGGGAAGCAGTAAACATTCTCCAAAATATCAATTTGAAAGTCAAAGCCGCCACTGCTGCTTGAGCATCTTCAAATTAAAAACTCTTTTAATGGTGACAGTTGTAACAAGGTTATTTATCGTACCAAGAATCTTTTCAGTAAAGATGAACGCTGAATTAATTTCTTTGCTGATGTTCTTAATTTGACAAAAACCGTCCATAATTGGTCATACAACGCATCTCTTATAGAATGATGCCTTGCACATCCTTTGCTTTTATAATTCCCTGTTCTATTTTGATGACTTGGACAGTGTCCTGAAGATGCTTTCCAAGTCAACCAGTGATCACTTTAATTTAACACCATATGTCATGAGGGTTCATCTTGCTGCTCAGGTTTTAAGTGATACAGTTGCAGTCTGCTTGGATAAATTCACCCCCCCCCCCCTGAAGTTCCTGCAACAGGTAAGTTCTGTTCAACGATGGACAAATCCTTTGATTGTCTAAATTTCGGAAACACTACTGAGCATTTCCTAAAAAGAAATCCTTTTTACAATCATATTCTGTTGTTGGAAAATGGTTAAATGGTTGGAAAATACGTAAACAATACAGAGCTATTGGAAAAAGACGCAAAAAGAAGTAACCACTTCTAATACTGCAAAACATTTATCTTTTCAATTTTAATGTATACAGTACACATTAATTTTATTTTACTACAAAAACTTCTATTTAACAAATTTCTTTGACCATTTATGATCGACAGTGCCTTTAGTGTTCTCTTGGCACTTTAACATTAAATCTCTGAACCAGCAGATAGTTCTGGTGTTGGTGCACTAGATAATTTCTACATCGTGGTTAACCAATCCAGGGATAGTTAAAGGAAGAGACAATGGAAATCGGAAAACTGAAGAAAATAAGAAGAGGTCATCAAGCATGTGTTGGAAAAATTGACGAGTGCAAGGGCGATGAAAAGGAGCTGAAGCAGATGGAAATTCAGTATAAAGAGAAAAGAGAGACATCAAAGGTCTTAGATCAAAAGGTTTTGGAACTGACAGCAGACAAAGTAACTGAATCTGAAACCGAAGATGTTGACCCTATCAGCAAAGAGATCGAGGATTCAGCAGGCTTCAAGAGAAACAATCTTTTGGTGGTACAAAACTTGTAAATGGCTTTGAAAAAAGCAAACATTTAGTAAACTAAAGCTTTTCGTCTGACACTCTTCAGAGTTTAAAACGTCAGAACATAGATCGAAAACTCTACGCTAAGAAATATATATACCCAGTTGTGGATCGAAATAGGCCAATCAGAAACACGAGCACATGACTGTGAAGGTTGACCAATCAGTGCCGCTTGCCTATTAGAATGTTACCAATGGAGTCCTAAGGTGAAAACGAACTCCTTTTGTCTACACAGTAGCGGTTTTTTCGTGCTTATGTAGATGGATTCTAAAACTGCTTGGTGGAACGACGATCGGGCTTTCTGCCTGGACAATTTAACCCAAGTTTTTATGCAGTTGTTATCCCTCGTTTTAGGATTCTGTTTTCAGAATTTTCTAGCCAAGGATCAACACTTTTATCTACAAGGATTGCAGATAAGATTGTTGGATACTCTAGGGAAAAAGAAAAATCAGAGATACCTGTAAAGACGGTTCTGACTAAAATGAAAATGTGCATTACAGTACTTTGGTGGATATGTACTGTCTAGACTCAATAGCAAAATACAATTTACCAAAAATCAACACTCACCCACTGCCCGACAATGCATTTCATTTCTACATGCTGGAAAAACTAATGAATCTACCAGCTCTCAAACATTTGTCGACAGTGTAAATAGGGGTCGTCTTTGGAAAGTTAGAAACAATGCAGAGCAAGTTTTGGCACAGGCTGAGCTCACTTTCTTTGAGCATACTCATGCCCAAAACACTAAACAAATTGATGTACCAGGTATGGTAAAAACATTGTTGTGTAATCAGGATGTAATAGCAAATTATCAATCTTCGTATAGTTCTGCTGCTCTGGTTTGTTGTTCATTTGAAATACCAGATGTTGTTCATTTGAATAGGATTAAGGGTGCTAGGAAGCAAGAAGACTTGGCCATGGACGACTTTCTCGGAGCATTTAAAGATAAACAAGAAATAAGGAAACAAAACCAGCCCATATTAGAAGAAGAAGAAAGGGCAAGACATTGATGACAAATCAAGGTTTGCAGGGAAAAACCTAACGAGCGGAAGTGCTTTGCATGCTGCAGAACAATCTGAATTTCAAGGAAAAAGGCTTTTTTTACTTTTTGTCGTGGGAATCACGAAGAAAATGACTGTAAAATTGTAACTGATGTTAGAGAACGTAAGAAACTTGTAATGAAGTATGGTAAATGTTTTTGATGCTTAAGAAGAAAGCATAAATGTATAGATTGTCGCTTGAATCTTGTTTGTTTCAACTGGAAACAAAAGCACCTTTTGTCTTTATGTGATAACAGTAAAGTAGATAAAGTAAGATCTGAGTTTTTTGTGCTGTCAGTACCCACCCCTCATGCTAGGACAACTCCTTGCGCAAAAAATGTAGGTAACGGGGGGAGTGTTGCATTTCAGACAGTTGTTAGGCCATCTGTGCTTTTTGATACAGCTAGCTATAGGACCTTCGTTATGAAGGACATTGTTGATCGCTTAGGATTGAGCCCTATTAAGCAAGAGCGCTTAGGAATTACTACGTTTGGTTCCACCAGAGGTAATGAGAGTCTGAAAGATGTTGTTAAGGTTTAGAGAGTTTAGGATACCTATGATAGCAGATATTGTAAAGCCTTTTTGAATGTTGAAATAGATCAATCAGATAGAGATGTTTTAATTGGTAATGATTTCATTGTTTACATTATTTACTGCATCAAGCGTTGTTTGAGAGAATGCAGAGACTACAAAAGTAAGAAAAGAAGGATACACAGGTACCTCGCTTAATAATTATTTGCATGTAGGCCCATCACTCACACCTTTGTTATTTGATATATTGTGAAGGTTTAGGAAGTTTAGAGTACCTATGATAGCAGATACTGAAAATCCTTTTTGAATGTTGAATCAGATCAATGAGATAAAGATGTTTTGAGATTTTTATGGGTCAGGGATATTCATAAAGATTATTCTCCTGTTGAAGTTTCTCACTTTAAGAGATGAAGTTTGTCTTTGGGGTAAACTCATCTCCATTTCTTTTGAATGTTATATTAACATTCCATATCAACAAATATAAGGAAGATGACCCAGATTTTACTAGAAACTTGTTGATAATTTCTATGTAGACAATTTGGTGTCCGGAGCTTCAAATTTAATTGATGCAAGAATTTTATACACTTACGTTCAAAAAGTATTGGGACGAATTATGGCGTTCCCTTGGATTCGGTTTTGCAACGGAAACTTTTTCAGATTTAGGCAGTCTTTCTACAAATAATCTAGGCCCAAGTTTCCCCAAAATGGAATAAAAAGTTAACAAAATGCTTCAACTTATGAAGAATAACCAAGAAAACACAGGATTCTTTCGATTTTCCTGATTATAAACAGCAAAATATGCAGAAGGGCTGAATGGCCTAACAATGGCAAAGTCACATGACCTTCCAAAAATTTTAGAGCTGTCCAAACAAATACAACTTTTTAATTTCACGTTTGCATAACAAAAGAAATTATTAAAGAAATTATAAAATCAAACTTTCA